TGGGGAAAATAAAGAGAAAATGAACCCAAAATAAAGACACAAAAATGGGACAAACAGAGAGCTTATTCTAGGTTGTCCACTAGTTAGGTTTAGTCGAAAAAACTATTTCAATTGAATATTCAGTAAGGAAAAATTTGGTTAACAAAGCTTGTTGTTAGCTAGGATCGGTAATTCGTTAGCAATTTAAAGAATGCGTCGAAATTAATTAGCGGTAGATTTAGATTGGGAGATAACTGAACCAAAAACTGGATTTCTCTTATTTATTTGATTTTTATTTTATTTTCTTATTTATAGTTTTACAAACCAATCCCCTCATTTCTATCGCTTTCTTAGTTTAGTTCAATTAATACAAAATTGTCACAATTTAATTCATGTTACTCGTGAGATCGACCCTTATTCGTCGCTGCTACTAGTTAGTAGAGGTTTGTTAAGATAACTTTATAAATTTAAATTTGTCGCGTTGCGACGCACGGTCAACACTGGATCATGAACTTGCTCCAACAACTTTTCTCCTCAAGAACAAAAAAAACAATATTGAAAATTAAGAACTTACAACCTTAGGAGCCTGACAAACTTGTTTGGCATTGTGGCAGTGGTGGCAAACACTCAGTAGTTGATTCATACAAATAACTAGTCAATGAAAAATAGAGACAATTGGACAGGGTTGAGCCCATCAAGGACCAACAAGAAGCCAGAACTGATACAAGAAGCTTTGGAAGATGAAGATTCAAAGAAAAATCACACATTTCATCTGAATGTCTTAATAATGCTCTACCAGTGATGGATAATTTGGTCAGATGGGGTGTACATATAGATCCTCGATGTCCTACATGTGGAGAGGCCACTCTGAAACTGTGGAACACCTTCTCTTTTCTTGTCCCAAAGCAACACTGATATGAAAATTAGCACCCTTGTCATGGGATGGACCACAACTTCCCACTGACAATTTCAAGCACTGGTGGATTAACATTTGCAACATTCCCTCTTCAAATGTATAAAATGCTAAACTCCATTTTACTACTTATTTGTTGTGGTGGATATGAAAAAACGAGAAACATTTGGGTTATTCAAAAGAGTTAGAGACCAGAACAAGCAATGGTTAGTATTGCTCTGAATGATCGACTTGAATTTGAAAAGCTTTAGATTACTAGTTGGTTATATGTTTTTGTTGGTAGTTGCGTTTTCTGTTTTTGGTTGATGTACAATTTACCTCTTTCCTTGAGGCTTTTGTGGATTTAAACTAGGGTCATCGACCAATGGCTTCCTTCCATTTTGCTGTGATAGGGGTAGATTGTTTGAGCTCATATGCTTGGCCAATATCTCAGGCAAACAACCCCTTGAACTTTTTGTTGTTGTTTAGGTCATTTTTAGTGTTCCTCCCATCACCCAGGTGGTTGTATTTAAGGCTAGTTAGCCTTCGCATTTGTACATTCTCCTATTTTGGACCTATAAAATATATCGTTTCGGAA